TAGTTTATAGTGCTATCATTTGTTCAAATGACAACTTACAGTGACTTAATTTATGGGAATTAGTGTTAGAATCTATAAACTTTAGTGAATGAATGTAACTCTGTCTTATTCTGGCACAGAGATAGATGACCTCTGGATTGTTAGGGACCACATTCTTTTTTAAAAACAGTAGTCCATAGTGTTATAGATGGGGTTTTTTCCCTGTGTGACCCAACCAGATTTTATAACAGTTTCTATAAGCCTGCAATAAGAACTTCAAAGGTATGGGACACATTACAATTCCCAAAGAGAGACGTAAATTTAAAAGAATGCATCCCTCTAAATTTTTCCCAAAAAAAATATTTCCCTTATGTGTGAACACTTGTAAAACATTTTGCCATATAATTAAAATTTGCAGATGAGGTTTGGTTCATCTGTCGATCTGACAAGTTGTCTTTAAATCGAGACAATTTCTCTGGTGGCATGTAAGCACTGTACTATAATAATGGGAAATTACACTATTAATAGGGTGGTAGATCTAAAAAGAAAGCCGGAAATCCTGATCAATCAAAACATGAGTTCAAGCAGTTTATGGTATTCTATGAACAAAAGAAAAGACCTACTTTTTCAGATCAAGGATTCTAACATGCCTCCAGGAAGCCCAAAAGAAGGCATGAAAGCAGTCTATGTCTCCAACATCTGGAGCATTGCCTGTATTTTACCATGGATTAATGTAACCCTTTAGTCTGGCCTCCACCCCAGTTTGGCCGCATTTGCCTTCAATGACATCATCTCACAGTCACTGATTGATTGGGATCCCTCCAGAAAGAAGCAATCAGAAGGAGAGAAAAATGGCAACAACCCAGGAAAACAATTGCTGTGAATTGACTCCTCAAAAGCACAGAGTTTTCTCTGACAGAGCTGTGTAACTCTTCCCTATGTGAACTGAGGCTGGCCAGTCTAGCTCTTCCTTATCAAAGATGTATTATTATTGTGCTGTTAATTCTATTTGTGTATTGACATGTAAACAATTCTGTGCCAAAGGGGTTTAAGTATTGGAATCATCTAGTGAAACCTGTTACAGGTGTAACATAACAGGTTTTATAAGCCCATCATAACCTGCTTTATCTAAGAAGATAAGAGTTGTGACTTCACTAGCATACCTTCAGATAACATTGTGCTGGTTAAGGGTAAAAGAACTAGACTATAAAAATTTAAGTGGACTTGGAACAGCTCTTTGTATGGAAATCAGGTGATGCTAGTGTTGAAACTAAAAAGTGGAGTATGCTAGATTTTTCCTGTTAGCTTCTAAACTTCAAGCTTCAGAAAAGCTGAACAATACACAGTGGCTTCTTGAATTCTTACTTGGCTAAAAGGTTGGGAATTGATTCCAGTGCTGGAGTTTGGGTTACCCTGTCATGCTTTTCTTTCAGTAAGCCGCTTTCAACAGGTTAAGTACATATCTGTATTTTTAATGCTGGGTTTTTTCATGCCCCCAAAGATAATTCACTTCAAATTTTTGTGTTGTAGAACTTCTTTGGCTAAAATGGCTACATACTTTTATATAGTGCAACAGTATTAACTTCGTCATTTCCCTTGCTTTATGATTTGTTTTTATCTCCTACTGATATGATTGGTTTCTTAGCCTTTAAGGGACATAAGACTCATTTTGGGGTACTTTTTTCCTGTAACAAAACACTCCCACTACTCTGGTATTGATATGACTGCACACAGTCTCAAGGTTATATATGTATCCTAAGGCATTCTATGGAACAATTAACAAAACTCAGATTTTGTTTTTGGACATGACTCCACTTGGATTGTTCTCTTTATAACTAGAATTTGTCTGTTAAAGACTGGTCCTTAAAAGCTTAGTGTTTGTAACGGCAGTTATATCCATGTGGCTTTGAAAACTTACATTGAATTGAGTGGGTATTCTCAACTGTATCAATTTGCTTCTTGTCTCATAATATTTTATGCATGTATAGAGTGGGAATGTATTCCTTTGGTTTATGCTACAAATTCCAAAACATGGCTTGTGTATATAATCATTGGCTCTAGGAGATCAGGAGAATACAAGACTAGTTTCTAGATTTCAGTAAAAATTCTGAGAAGCAAAAGAATGTATTACTTAAAATAGATAAAATTGGGTTCCAGCTGAAGTACAGGATTGCAAGAATGGACCCCAGTAAAAAGGATACTTAAAACCCAAATAATTTTAAAAAATCAAATATATATAAAATCATTTCTACTACACAAAAAGAGGGAGAAACTTAGAATAAAACTCCAGACATCCATTAGATTGTACTTTTTTTTTTTTAAGAAGGGAACAAGTAACAACAGAATAATGTCTACTTTGTTTCAGGCTACTTCATCTTCCAGAAGTATCCTGCACGTTTAAGGCTAGATTGTGTAATTTGAAATAAGCCCTGTTGCTTCAGTTCTATGTTGAGATTTATTGTAGCCAAAAGAAATGAGGAAAAGAATGAAAGCAGTGTCAGGCAGGGCCACAGCTCATCCTAGGTAGAAACATGCCAATGGGGACAAGAGGGAGGTGCAGCTTTGGCAGAGGAACAACTGTGAGTATAAACCTGTGAAATGTTGACACAGCAGTGAGAAGAGTTGGCCCTGTAGCTTTCTCAGGATATGAACTACACTGATAGGCTCTTCCTCTCCATCTGCTGCTTTATGCTTCTCACCTCTTTATCCTGAAATATGAGCACTTGAAGACTGCGTCAGCTATTTCATATAGGTTTTGGAGTAATCCCATTAGGAGGGAGGTTCCACCCTAGGGGTGGCCAAACTGCGGCTCGGGAGCCGCATGCGGCTCTTTCACACATATTGTGCGGTTCCCGGTAGGGTGGCTGAGGAAGAGAAGAGGAGGTATGCCTCCTCGATCGGTCTTCCCTTCCCCAGCCAGAGTTCCCCTTCCTGAATAGGGTTGAGGTGGGGGGGGAGCCGAGAAAGAAAGCAACTTTAACTTTAAATGCGTTCTCAAAGCACTCCCCCCCCCAGCTGTCTTTATCATTAGCAAATAAATAAATATCATTGGACAAATAAATGTCATTATCAATACCTGTTTCCACACCTTTTGTTTTTATTGTTGGCAGTCTCATTTAATGTTAATAAAAAGCAAATTGGCATAGCTTAATAAAAATGTGTGTAAAATTTGTTCATGTCTTGCGGCTTCTCAAACATCTGACGTTTATTCTAAGGGGCTCTTATGTTAAGTGAGTCTGGCCACCCCTGTTCGACCCCATGCTAAGCTTGTTACATTAATGTCTGTTTCACTGGGGTTTGCTTAATGGCTTCATGCACTTGGGAGTTTCCCGTGGCCTTCTGTAAGAGGCAAATGTCAACACAGGTATGCCCGTGTACACAAGGGAAATAAAAACAAATATCTCTTGCATGGCAGACTTCACAGACTCTTTGCATTGCAGCCAGTTTGCTGAGGATTGAAATATGCAATAGTCAAATGGTGACTAATGAAGTTACTTACTCTAGGATTAACATACCTGAAGGACTCTCTCCTCCCATACTAGCCAGCCTGCCAATTAAGATCTTCCTCTCAAGCCCTGCTTTCTGTACCTCTGCCTTTTAGAGATGAGGCAAGTAGCGATTAGAGACAGGGCATTTTCTGTGGTGGCATCTTGCCTTGGAACCCCTAGGCTGAGAATATGGTGGGTCTGTAATTCCACTCAAGCAAGAGAACTGCTTAATTCTAATATGGAGAAGTACAGGAATCTCTGTGTTGTCACAAATTATGACTGAGGTGCTTGGAACCTGGTGTGCTATGTGACAACAGAATTAATAGAACAGATTTAATAGAATAAGCACTGTGGCTGGCCATAGTATCGGCACGTAAATGTTTCGTGTGAAAAACACCTTTCAGCCCCAGTCTCCTGTCATCTCTTTCTCTTAAACAAAGGTTCAAGTAATAACAAAAAAAATCCCTTATAGCAGTTAAGATCCCTTTTAAAAGTTTAGTTTTATGTGTTGTTTGTTTAGGACAGCATAATTATTAATTATATGTTGTAATACTGGTTTTAGTTAATGTATGAAAACTTGTTTTCTGCTGGAATGAATAGAACCTAGTATGGCCTAGTGAAATGGTACAGAGTGGCAGTGGTATTAGTGGGATAAAAAGTTGCATACATAGGAGGGAGATTGAGGTTCCCAAGATAGAATCTACCGAAACCAGAAGTTGCATTTCTTAAATGCTGTTACTCTAAGAGAAAGGCCTGAAGCATTGAAACATTTGACAATGGGGGTCTGATTTGTTCCAAAATTGTGGTAAGCAAATATTTAGTATTCATAGTAGTGCAGCAAATCCAAACAAGGGGTGTGTAGTGCACAGCACATACTTTGTGTGTAGAAGGCCACAGGTTCAGGTTCTGGCAGTTAAAAAATTCTGTAAACTGGGAGTTCCAGTGGGTTTGCAGAATTTACGTTACAGTTGAGGCTGGCCGTGTTGTATGGATTTGGCTATCAACAGAGGAACCAGCCAGCTTATGGCAACCCTGTAGGATTTTCAAGGCAAGAGACATTCAGAGGTGGTTTGCCTTTGCCTGCCTTTGCGTCACACCCCTGGTATTCTTTGGAGGTCTCCCATCCAAATACTAACCAGGGCTGATGCTGCTTAGTTTCCAAGACCTGACTAGATTGGACTAGCCTTGGGCTATCCAGGTCAGGGTGACAATTGTATACATACACATTTTGCGCACATAGAAGAAGAAGAGATTGGATTTATACCCCACCCTTCACTCAGAGTCTCAGAGCGGCTTAAAAACTCCTTTCCCTTCTCCTCCCCACAACAGGCACCCTGTGAGGTAGGTGGGGCTGAAAGAGCTCTGACAGAAACTGCTCTTTTTCAAGGACAGCTGTGCCAGAACTACGGCTTGCCCAAGGTCATCCAGCCAGGTGCAAGTGGAGGAGTGGTGAATCAAACCCGATTTTCCCAGATTGGAGTCCAGGCATTTAACCACTACACCAAACATATGTTTGCTGTCATTGTGCTGTAGGTTGTGTCAGAAGCTGATGGGCAAGGGATCTCGATTGATGGCAATGACACTTTCAACTACTGGAACTGGCCGAATGCTGTCATCTTTGCTGCTACTGTGATTACAACCATTGGTGAGTATTTAACATGCAAGAGCGTTATTTGATGTCCTTCCCTGGTGATCATATAGCTTTGTATATGTGTGTTCTACTTTCCACTGAAGCAAGTGGTTAGGCACACTATTCAGAAGGTAGCCTAGGAAAAGTAGTGTGATCCCAAGAGTGACAAGAACTTTTAGGTATTGAATACTAACACTTAATCAAATGCATCATTCATGACTGCTAGAGCACAGTTATGGGTTATGTTGCGCCAGTTCTGTGTCTTTCTTCTGATCGTGAAATCCCATTTTAATGAAGCCTCCTGTTGCCAGTTCTGAATATAGTAGCACATCCTTGAAGAGCTGCATATAATGAAGAGCATTCAAAGTTGATTACAGATTGTGTTTTTGGCTTCAAAACTACCTTACAGCCAGTCGTGCTATGTTTCATTTCTTACACTTTGTCTTTCAAAGAGAATAGTCCAACAAATCCTAAAAAATACTAGCAATATTTTAGATTTTTTCTCTGTGACCTAAAATGTTCTATTGAGAGTACGTTTCTGTTATTCTGTGCGAGCTTTCCTGACAAAAGATTACATTGCTTACTTTCCTCTAATAAATTTGGTTGGTTTGGTTTCACAAAAATTGGTTGGTGAAGTTCTTCTCTTTCCTGCCTTAGGGTTTCCGAGTCCAGACCCTGAAATAGCCCCTAGCATAGAAGTGAAAATGTTACCAGATATGACTTCCTCATATTCTTACAATGATGAGAGAACCTGCATCTGGGGGAATGTCCCCTTCTATGCACCTCTTAATGGAAAAAGAATGTTAACAGGTTTAGATCTGGCAACCCTATGCCCCCTTCACTTTTTCTCTTGTATTGCTCTCTCTGGTTTCCCCATGTTTCTTGCCTTCAACATTTCCAGCTTTAAGGTGCATATGCGTGCCAGGCAAAACACAACAGAAGCCAGTATGAAAACATTAAGGAGGCAAAGCTTTGTATTCATGCCAGGAAGCACTTCACCTGCTTAAGTTCTTTGTGTCAGGTTGCTAATAAAGGTATAGGAACAGAGCAAAACAAAAAAGTGGCATTAAAATTATCTTCCAGCAGCACACTTCTGTTGAATTGTGCTCCTGTCCCCTAATGAATGTGGTCATCTTAGTAGACATTTTACTCATGACTTGTGGCATGTAGAGCTTGTTCTTAACCCACCCACCTCCTATGAAGAGGTAAAAACTTCTCGTGTGCTGCTTTATACTTTGCAGAAGGCCTATATTGTCAGAATAATCTCTGAGATGCAGAAAAACATCAGAGTTGGAGTTTGTTCTGAGGAAGAACAAACATAATGTTATAAAACAGATCGACCAGAGGAGGTGGGGGAAAGAAGGTAGAAACTTTACCACTAAACCAAATAAAGCACTATATCCTACTTGTTAACTATTAAAAATACTTTGGAAGAAACCTGACTTAATGGCACAAGTCTGAAGCAGAGTTACAGCCTTCCAAATTCTAAATCTTCTAAATCTCCATTCAGCCATGAAACTCACTGAGTGACTGATCATTCTCTCTCAGCCTAACCTATGTCACAGGGTTGTTGTGAGGATCAAATGAGGCAAAGGATTTTCTGTTCCACCTTGAGCTTCTTGGGGGATGGCTGAGATTTAAAAATGTAGAAATAAATGGTAAGAGATTATGGTCCATTTCGTTTCCATCCTTCATTGGCGGGAGATGCATAATATATTTTAGGAAGCAGTGATGTAAACGATCTAACAAAACTTCAGTACAGTGAAAACAGGACACCGTTCTGGCCTCTCTTAATCCAGAATAGAATACTTTACACTGTAGAATGATATGTGCTGGTTTGCACATACAGTTTAAGGCTCTGATACCATAAAGCAGGGACTGGAAGATGTCTTGTAACCAGGATTATGTGCATGCTGATTATTGGATTGTACACACTTCTTACCCAAATTCTGTTCAACTAAAAAGTGCATGCCACTGACCTATATAATGTATGTAAATTGAAAGCCAGTGTGGTGTACCGATTAGAGTGTCAGACTAGGATCTAGGAAACCTAGGTTGGAATCCCTGGTCTGCCATGTGCGTTTCTGGATAACCCTGGGCCAGTCACACTCTCCACCTAGCTTGCCCCACAGCGTGGTTGTTGGGAGGATGACATGGACGAGAGGAGATTGATGTAAGCTGTTTGGGGTCCTCATAAGGGAGAAAGGTGGGGTAGAAATGAAGTTAATTAAGAAAACTTGTGTATTTCACTGTGTCACACACACAAAACCTTTATTGGTATGAAAGCACAAAACATCATGGAAATATGGGAAAATACTAAGATGCATCAGTCACTTACACTTGGCTATTCAAGCCTCGTCTTCTGATTGCATAATATAAAAATTTTGCAACAGCCTCCATTATTTCGCAATTAGAATTAAACAGAAGAAAGTGAACAATTGAGTCATCAGAGTGCCAGCTCTTACCCTATAGAAATGGAGTAATATTTCACTGTGTTTTGCATGCTTTTGTTTCTTCTGAGCATGAGGAGGAACAATGATGTATTAGGGCAGATGTTTCTTGCATACTGACTCCTGGAAATCTTGCCTCTCTCCATTACCTATTCATACACACAGTTTTAAGGGCTAGAAATGTACTTCTTTAAAATATGAATGCTGAGATTCTCTGGGTGCTGATTTATGACAGCAGCAGTTTCTGCACTTGTAAGGAATAGTCACAGGATCTTTAGCCCAGTGTCTCTCTTGAGAGCCAGTGCCATAGTTTGGTTAAAATGCTGGCACGGGATTTGGGAGACCCAATCTAATCTCTTGTTAGAAGTGAGCATGTCTCCACTCATGGATATTAAATGATCTAATGCTAGAATGACTGGGCACTGTAATCTGTGAACAACTCCTCAAGGCTTTAAGAGCATCTGGTAACAGGAGAAAGGTTATGCCTGTACCAAAAGTTTCAAATTGGTGTGGGCAGCTTTAAACACAACATTCTCTTTCAGGATATGGAAATGTTGCTCCTAAGACTCCATCTGGGCGGCTTTTCTGTATATTCTATGGACTCTTTGGTGTTCCTCTCTGCTTAACGTGGATCAGTGCTTTGGGCAAGTTTTTTGGTGGACGTGCCAAGAGGCTGGGTCAATTCCTGACAAAGAGAGGAGTAAGCCTGGTATGTATTTCTGTATGCCCTGACCCCCTAAAGAGGATATGTGTGACTCTGGGGCCTTTTAAATTGCTATCCTGGATAATCCTCTTTTCCTTAATTTATACAGAATGTTATAAGCTGCTTCTCTGGAACATGAAATATGCCTCAAGGTCTATCTGCCATTTATGTTATATGATATTAGTGTTGACATGCACCTCAACTGCATGCAGTAGAAATTAACATCACATGGAATTAAGGACAAGATGGCACAGTAATTTAAAGTTTTGGCACACATTCCTCAATAGCTATGTAAAAATGAAAAAAGTTACTGCGCCATAACTAAGACATAATTATTTTTTATTATTATTATTATTATTATTATTATTATTATTATTATTATTAT